AAAGCAGGCTCCAGGCTCCGAGCTGTCAGCACAGAGCCCCGACGCAGGGCTCGAACTCATGGACTGTGAGATCATGACCTGAGCCGAAGTCGGATGCCTAACCGACTGAGCCACCCAGGTGCCCCAGGATCTGTGCGTTTTTTTTAAGGTGCAGGGTTGTATGTGCAAAACCACGTTATTACCTCTGACATTGTGGAGGGGATTTGCGGGTGTGATTTTGAATTGTGACTTCTGACTCTGAAAGCCCGCCGGGCCCCTCCTCTGCTCCTGTTTTGCAGCCATTTCCAGGCCCCGTGTGGAGTTGTGAGAGACACAGGGGTGTTCCCAGCCACCAGAGCCTTCCGGGATGGCCTGAGAAGGGCCCTGGGGACCACATTTTCCATGTGGTGGGAAGCCGGAGCAGCCAAAGCCTGGGCACAGGAGCAGCACGTGGCCCGGGTCCCCGTGACCCACTGGAGAAGCCGTGCACGGGGGGGCCCGACGGACGAGCACCTGAGGAGGTGAGTGGCTCTGGGCCGGCGCTGCAAGGCCCACCGGCTGGCGGAAGAGAGAGCAGCTCTGTGCTGGACGCGGTGGGTGCATGGGTCCCACCCACGCTGAGTCAGCAGATCCCATGCTGCCCAGAAGCTGAGCACCAGGTGGGTGCCCACGGCCCGCGGGCAGCCCCACACTGTGCTTCCAGCTGGGTTTGTTTTTGAGGTCTTGAGCTTGTTTGGGGCACAGGTAGAAGGTATTTGGTGGCTGGTGATGGGGCTTCGGAGGCGGGGGTCAGAAGGAGAGGTGATCCCAGCCGCTGGGGCTAGTGCTGGGGTCCAATTCCAGACCTGCGCTTCCCAGCGGTGTGACCCCTCTTTGGGCAAGTCTCTAACTTGAAAGGTCAAAGGAAGAGAACAGGCCTGCCTTATAGACATACCGCACGCAAATGCTCAGTTCAGGGGTCAGAAACACGGCAGGTGCTCAACAGACAGTGCTCTTCCTTGTGAAGGAGGGGGAGGAGCAGTGTGGCCGCAGGACTACCCACTCTCTGTCCCCTCAACGGGGCGCCTGTCCCCGGCGTGTGATGTTCTGCAGCTTTCGGTGCCTGTTCCAACCGTATCTCCCCAGAAAAGGGATGAGGGCAGGAGCACTGGCAGGGGCTTGGCCTGGGGCAGGGGAGGACTCCCTACAGTCTACCACAAACATGGGCTCCTGCCTCTCTCCCAGGGTCCTAGAGGCCTGGGCCCAGGCAGCAGCCAGGGGCCGTGTCCAGGGAGCCGCCATCACCCAGTTCCGGCAGGCTGCGTCCAGACGCCTCCTGTGGACCTGCTGGGCCCAGTGGCGGGCAGTGCTGCTCAGTGGGCAATTGGAACCACAGGAGGCAGAGGCCCAGGAGGCCTGCCCGGTTGACCGCAGGCAGCGGCCCGGGGTGGCCAGCAGAGGGCGCCTCCTAGCACTGATGGACACTCCAGCCCCGTGGAAGCAGGTGAGGTAGCCTAGATGGGGTGGGAGGTCCAAAAATGACCTGAGGGCCAGTGGCCTCAGAATCAGCTTGTTTCAGCCCAAGGTGGCAAGCGTGGCTGGATGCTTATCCGGGGGCCCACCGACCTTGGGGACAACACCCCTACCTGGTTGTGGGACAGTCTCCTGGCTCTGGAAGACTGCCATCTTTGGGCCCATCAGCCAGTGCCAGCCCGGTGCAGATCTGCCCCAAAGACAAATGCTGTGGGCACCATCTACCAGGGAGACGGGCACTTAAACTCATACATGTCACGGTGCAACCTAGATCTAGATGGGTGCAGGGGAACAGGAGCAACTAGCAAGTCCTTTTTATTCTTTATTGGAAAAATTACGCATGGTCACTATGGGGAAATCAGGAAATATGAATGGAAAAAAGTTTCTTTCATAACCCTCTCCACCCAAAGATAAACCACCAGTCAGTCACTCTCCAGACCAGAAGCAGTTGGTTCTGTGGGTACCTGGCTGGCTCAGTCGGTAGAGCACGTGACTCTTGATCTCAGGGTTGTGGGTTTGAGCCCCACATTGGGTATAGAGATTACTTAAAAATAAAGAAAAAATTGGGGGGCACCTGGGTAGCTCAGTCGGTTAAGCATCCAACTCTTTTTTTATTTTTTAACGTTTTATTTATTTTTGAGACAGAGCATGAACGGGGCAGGAGCAGAGAGAAAGGGAGACACAGAATCGGAAGCAGGCTCCAGGCTCTGAGCCATCAGCCCAGAGCCCCACGCGGGGCTTGAACTCACGGACCGCGAGATGGCAACCTGAGCTGAAGTCGGACACTTAACCGACTGAGCCACCCAGGCACCCCAAGCATCCAACTCTTAATTTCCGCTCAGGTCATGATCTCACAGTTCGTGAGTTTGAGCCCCTCGTCTGTCTCTGTGCTGACAGCACAGAGCCTGCTTGAGATTCTTGCTTTCCCTCTCTCTCCCCCCCTCTCTCTCAGCCCCTCCCCAGGTCGCACATGTGTGCTGTCTCTCTCTCTCAAAAATAAAACTTAAAACATTTAAAAAATAATTTTTTCAATTTTAAATATCTTTAAAAGAAAAAAAGCAGTTCTGACACTAGCAAATGGCGACAAGAGCTTGATGGCAAACAGGACTGATTCAAAGCCACAGTGAGAGCCGGGGACAAGGAATAACACAGCATAGCAGCCTTGGGACATGTCACTGGAGGACACACAGCCCCAGAGTTACCGGCGAGACACTTAGTGTTCCTAAAAAGGAATTGGAATCATCAAGAATCCTGTTTCAGAATGCTAGGAAGCATAAAATAAATTCTAGAAAGAGTCTAAGAAAAAAGATTAAATTGTTTTTTTAAATGGAATAAGGGGCTAGCTTGGTTATTTGCAGAATCCGTGTATTCACACGTATAGGGCTATGGCAACAGCAGATTCTGGAGTTTCAGAGTATTTTATTTCTAGATCTGTGTCACAAGACAATTTTATTTTCAGAGTGTGCTTAAGTATATTAACATTCCGGGGGCGCCAGGGTGGCTCAGTCAGTTGAGCATCCGACTCTTGGTTTTGGCTCAGATCATGATCTCAAGGTTTGCGGGATCGGCTCCCACGTCGGGCTTTGTGCTGACAGTTTGGGGCCTGCTTGGGATTCTCTCTCCCCTTCTCTCTCTGCCCCTCTCCTGCTCGCCCGCACTCTCTTCCAAAATAAATAAACATTAAAAAAATTTTTTTTAAATATATTAACATCCTGGGGTGCCTGGGTGGCTCAGTCAGTTAAGCGCCTGACTCTTGATTTCGGCTCAGGTCATGATCCCAGTGTCATGAGATGAGCCCCGTGTTGGACTCTGCCCTGTGCGTGGAGCCTGCTTAGGATTCTCTCTCCCGCTGGCTCTCTGCCCCTCCCTAATTCGTGCGAACGTGCACGTACTCTCTCCAAATAAACATTTAAAATAAATAAATTAACTCGTTATCGTTCCATTCTTATCGGCAAAGGCAGGCGGGGATCCCATTTGCTGGTGGAGAAACAGGCATACGGAAACCAAAAGTAAATGAGAGCTAGGGTGCTTGGTTCCAGGCCTCTCCTTTCTAGCACATGAACACACGCAGCCAGGCAGCCCTCCCCCATCGACACGAGCAGGTCTTTTGCCACCTCATGGTGCAGAGGCCTTCGGACAGCCCCTGGCCTGTAGTCGAGTAGAAGCTGGGGCTCAGGCTCTGGAGTCACACTGCTCCCGAGACAGGAGGCCTCAGACAAGTAATCTCATTCTGTAAAGCCTAAGTGGGGGCGGGGAGGGGGGCAACCTGCTCACAGGCTGTGCTGGCACCGGTACGCTGTCACCGGGTGGTGGCTGTTACTGGCCTGCCCTCCGCTTGAATTTCCAGCCTCGCTGGGGAGAACGGGGAAGAGGCTGTAATGTGTACCGATGGCCATGCTACACCTTCTCCGTCTCCCCCTGGGAGCCCCAGGGCCGCTCAAGAGCGGGAGGCCCTGCTTCTGGGGCAGGACAGGAAAGGATCCTGCCAGGTCGCCTGAGTGCCAGGGAGTGCAAACCCCTCGGGTTCAGGTTTTGCTCTCTGGCTGTTCCCTCAGACCCACCGCTGCAGGACGCGACCCAGCCCAA